ATTCCTGGAGGGTTACATTACAAGTATTATCTATTCCTGGAAAAGCAATGGCGTCTTGCTTAATTTGATCATATATATTAACTGCATTATAGGGAGAGACAAAGAGACAGATTATCATTATCAGGACTGACATAGAGACAGACAGACAGATGGATTGACTTACTAACAAATATCCGGACTTACAGACAGACAGAAAGTCAGATAGTAAGAAAGACAGGCAGACAGAAAGGCAGATAAACAGAAAGATAGACAATTAGACAGACAGAAACATGAAGAGTATTGTATTGATATTGATAATTACTACTGTAATGATGATAATGAATATGATAGCCATGGTGATATCAACCTTATATACGATAAATATTAAATACAAAAGCGTAGGACAAAACAGAATTTTAATAGTGAGAATAAGAGAGAACGGGAGAGAAGAGTAGAGTGCAGGAAAGAGAGGGGGGAAAGAGAAGGAGAGAGAACGAGAGAATATGAAAGAAGGAGGAGGAAGAGAGAGAGAGAGAGTGAAAGAGAGAGAGAGAGAGAGAGAGAGAGAGAGACAGACAGACAGACAGACAGACAGGTAGACAGAAAAAAACTGAGAGGCAGAAAAACAGAGACATGAAGAGGAAAAAAGGAGAGCGAGATAACGAGTATACCAACACGTTGTAAACAAGGTAAGATTAGGATGATTAGTAATGATTGGGGAAATAGTTTTTATGATTCGTGATCATCAGGGAAGTAAAAACTAATAGGAAAATTTGGAGGAATATGGTGTAAATAAGAATAAATAAGCATTGAGAAAAGTGAAGTAGGAAAAAAATTATACTGATAGTGCACAAGATGATAGATACAGATAAGAATACGGAAACTAAAATATTCTAACAAAGTGAAAAGACACAAAGGAAAATATTAGAATTTTTAAAAATGATAATGATAGAAAGGAAGGAAAATGTATTAGAAAAAATCTGATAAAGAGGGTGACCAATAACAAGAAAAATACTATGATTATACACAAAGAGACAAAAACTACAACAACAACAATAACAACTACTACTGCTACTACTATTACTACTACGACTACTGCTACTACTACCACTAGTACTACTATTACTACAATTACCACTACTACTACTACTGTTACAGCTACCACTACTACTATTACCACTGTTACCACTACTACTACTACTAGTACTACTACACCAGCAACAACAACAATACCAACAACAACAGCAACAAATAAAGAGACAAGACAAGAGCATAGCCCAAAATACAGGCTACAAACACACGACTATATTCCCAACAGCTAACCAAGGAAATACCTAAACCCAGTGAGTCCCACATGTCATGCTTGTGTTAACTGTAAACATGCCTGTCATGTCACTGTCAGGAGAGCTGATGAGATGTCCGAGATGCTGATGCAAGGGAGATGAGGATGCAACAGAGGATTTTATGGTTTTGTTTGTCTGTTTGTGCTTGTGTTTATGAGCATGATTGGGTCTATGAGTGTGTGTTAATTTGTTTCATCTGTGGGTATGTTTGTGTGTGTTAATTTGCAGGACTGGATCGATATGTTTGTGTTAATTTGTATCCGAAGAGAAAGAAAGAGTGTTTTTCTCTTGTGTGTTATAGAAATGGAATTGGTATACAGATATATTTATGCATACGTCTACAAACAGACACAGTTATATCCTCGTGCACTGACATACATCCATAAAGTTACACACACACACACACACACACTCACACACACCCACACACACACTCACACACACACACACACACACACACACACACACACACACATACACACACTCACACACACACACTTACACACACACAAAAGTACATATATGTATGTGTTCACATATATATACAGTAGAAATTGGTATTTAGTTTTATTTTCACATACGGCTATACACAAACATATACATTAGCCCGTGCACAAACATACCCAAGTGCACAATAGTCAGATACACATAATCACAAACATCAACACAGTACATATATATGTATATTGACTTATACATGAATATAATTGCATTGTATCTATCTGTTTATCAATCTAATTATTTATCCAATATCTATCAATCTGCCTATCTATCAATCTAATCTAATCTGATTCATCTATCTATCTATCTAATCCTATTGATTTATCTATCTATATATCTATCTATCTATCCATCTATCCATCTATCTATCAATCTCTCGATCTATCAACCAACGATAGGCTGATGGGAATCGAGTACAGTAGTGGGCACCCCTAATTTTACTGTGTCCTCGGAATTCATAGCTTATTTAAGGATAAATGAGGTAGTTTTATACTAAATTTGATCAACAAAAGAAAATATTCTTTTTCATTTTCTAATAATATGTTAACAAAAATCAAACATATGGACAGGAAAACATATCCTAGACTATTTGAATAAACACCAAAAAAATAATCACTTGCTTGAAATATCTACATATAAGAATAAAAAAATTAACTTTAAAACGTTTATGTAAATGAATTTTCGATTCAATGGCTCTTTTCTCCCTGTTTCTTGATAATGAGAAATAAATAGATTAATTACTCGTCTCCAGGATTGACACTTCTCGCACCCCTTGTAATGCTATCTCACACCCCCAGGGGATGCGAGTACCCCTGGTTGGGAGACCCTGGAATAAGGAAGACGAGGGGGCTGGAAGGGTGAGAAGAGGGGGCGGGGTGGATGGTGGAAGGGGGTGGGGGGGGGGTCCTAGACACGAGGGATGGTCTTGAGAACGAGAAGGCCATAACGACCGCCCGAGTCACCTAGTTGGCAAGCTGCTTGGGGATTATTATGTAATTTGCCGTTTTTTTTACGTTTTTTTTACGTGTCGGCTTCCTTTTTTTTTATTTTTTTTTTTTTACGTTTGACGTCTCCTCTCTCTGCTTACCCATCCTTCTTTTATCCCAGTTCTTTTCGTCCTACTTTGTCTTTAAATATAAATGAATATATATATATATATATATATATATAATATATATATATATATATATATATATATGTGTGTGTGTGTGTGTGTGTGTGTGTGTGTGTGTGTGTGTGTGTGTGTGTGTGTGTGTGTGTGTGTGTGTGAGTGTGTGGCATATATATATATATATATATATATAGATAGATAGATAGATAGATAGATAGATATAGATAGATAGATAGATAGATAGATAGATAGATAGATAGATAGTTAGATAGATATATATACATATATATATAAGTGTGTGCGTATATATATGTGTGTGTGCGTGTGTGTGAGTGTGTGTATGTATGTATGTATGTGTGTGTGTGTGTGTGTGTGTGTGTGTGTGTGTGTGTGTGTGTGTGTGTGTGAAATGGTGTGTGTGAGTGAGCGTGGTGTGTGTTGTGTGTGTGTGTGTGTGTGTGTGTGTGTGTTGTGGTGTGTGTGGTGTGTG